GTTGAGATGTAATCAGTTCTGCAGACTGTAGTCTTTAATCCTCATTAGTAAGTGCTCCAAATCATCTTCACTTTCACCAAGCAAGGTTATGTCATCTGCATATTGCAGGTTATTAATGAGTCTTCCTGCAATCCTGATACCATGTTCTTCTTCATATAGTCCAGCTTCTTGGATTATTTGCTCGGCATACAGATTGAATAAGTATAGTGAAAGGGTACAACCCTGATGTACTCCCTTCCTGACTTTAAATCATGCAGTATCCCCTTGTTCTGTTTGAACAATAGCCTACTGGTCTATGCACAAGTTCCTCATGAGCACAATTAAGTGTTCTGGAATTCCCGTTCTTCTCAACATTATCCATAATTTGTTATGATCCACATAATCAAATGCTTTTGCACAGTCAATAAAACACAAGTAAACATCTTTCTGGTGTTCTTTGCTTTCAGCCAGGATCCATCTGACATCAGCAATGGTGCCCCTTGTTCCATGTCCTCTTCTGAATCCAGCTTGCATTTCTGGAAGTTCTTTGTCAGTATATTGCTGCAACCAGTTTTTAATTATCTTCAGCAAGATTTTAACTTGCATGCGATGTTAATGGTATTGTTTGATAATTTCCACATTCTGTGGGAATGGGTACAAATATAGATCTCTTCCAGTCACTTGGCCAGGCAGCTGTCTTCCAGATTTCTTGGCATAGCCGAATGAGTGCTTTCAGTGTGGCATCCGTTTTTTGAAACATCTCAGTGGGTATTCCGTGAATTCCTGGAGCCTTGTTTTTTTTTGCCAATTCTTTCAGTAAGCTTCGACGACTTCCTTCATTTGTTCTTTTTTTTTTTTTTTGGAGGGGTGTGTGTCTGGGAGTCACGTGGACAGGTGAAGGTGTGGTGTCTGAGTCTCAGTCAAGGCATGGAGTGACTGGGAACAGATGCTCCAGAGTGGAACAGGAGGCCTGGTTGGGGCTGATCGCTAAGGGATATTAGTACCATATTAGCTGTGTGGCCTTGAGAAGTCACGCCACTGTTCACGTTCCATCTGAAAAATATATGATCATATGTCCCCTCCTGAAATGGATGAACATCAACCAGTTCTTTTTGGTACAGTGACTCTGTGTATTCCTTCCATCTTCTTTTGATGTTTCCTGCATCAGTAATATTTTGTCCATAGAATCTTTCAGTATTGCAACTCTAGGCTTGAATTTTTTTCTCCAGTTCTTTCAGCTTGAGAAATGTTCTTCCCTTTTGGTTTTCTAACTCCAGGCCTTTGCACATTTGTATGATAAGTGACTTTGTCCTCTCAAGGTGCTCTTTGAAATCTTCTGTTCAGCTCTTTTGTCATTTTTTTCCATTTGTTTTAGCTACTTTCTGTTCAAGGGCAAGTTTCAGAGTCTCTTCTGACATCCATTTTGGTCTTTTCTTCCTTTTCTGTCTTTTTAATGACCTTTTGCTTCCTTCATGGATGATACTCTTGATATCATCCCACAATTCCTCACAATTCCTCTGGTTTTCAGTCATTGGTGTTCAGTGCATCAAATCTGTTCTTTAGATGATCTCTAAATTCTGGTGGGATATAATCACGGTCGTATTTTGGCTCTCGTAGAGTTGTTTTCATTGTCTTCAACTTCAACTTGAACTTGCATATGAACAGTTGATGGTCTGTTCCACAGTTAGCTCCTGGCCTTGTTTTGGCTGAAGATACTGAGTTTCTCCATCACCTGCCACAGATATAGTCAGTCTGATTCCTGTGTAACTCCATCTGTAGAAGTCCATGTGTATAGCTGCTGTTTGTGTTGTTGAAAAAAGGTATTTGCAATGAGTAAGTCATCGGTCTTACAAAATTATATTGTGTGATCTCCAGCGTTACTTTGTATCACCAACGCCATAGTATCCATCTATTGGTGATTCTTTTTGTTTCCAACTTTTGTATTCCAGTCATCAGTGATAATCAACACATCTTGATTGCATGTTTCATCAATTTCAGACTGCAAAAATTGGTAACAATCTTCAATTTCCTAGTCTTTGGCTTTTGTGGTTGGTGCGTGAGTTTGAATAATAGTAGTATTAACTGGTCTTCCCTGTAGGCATATGGATATTGTCCTATCACTGACAGCATTGTACTTCAGGACAGATCTTGAAACATTCTTTATGATGATGGATGTGGTACCATTCCTCTTCAGTTTGTCACTCCTGGCGTAGTAGATCATGTGGTCGTCTGATTTGAAATGGCCAAAACCAATCTGTTTCTGCTCACTGATGCCTATGATATCGATCTTTATGTGTTCCATTTAGTTTTTGACAACTTCCAATTTTCCTAGATTCATACTTCATACATTCCATGTTCTGATTATTAATGGATGCTTGCAGCTGTTTCTTCCAATTTTGAGTCGTGCCACATCAGCCAATGAAGGTCTAGAAAGCTTTACTCAATCTATATCATTAAGGTCGTCTCTACTCTGAGGAGGCATCTCTTCCCGAGTTATATTTTGAGTGCCTTCCGACCTGAGGGGCTTATCTTCTGGCACTATATTGGACAGTGTTTCAGGACTATTCATAAAGTTTTCCTGTAATATATCAGACTGTTTCACTGCTATTCATAAAGTTTTCACTGGCCACTTCTTTGAGAAGTGGATGGCGCCTTCCTTCTGAGTCTGAGCCTGGAAACTCCTGAAATCTGTCCACTATGGGTGACCCTGCTGGTTTGAAATACTGGTAGCATAGCCTCCAGCCTCACAGCAACACCCAAGCCACCACAGGATAACAGACTGACAGACGAGTTTCATTGTTAGTGAATAGAAATGCCGCTGATATTTGTGTCGTATTCTTATGTCCTGTGACTTTCATTTATTAGCTCTACTAGCTTGTTTATGGGTTCTTTAGAGTTTTTGATGTGTCAGATACTTCATCTGCAAGTCGGGTTCTCTCCCCTTCTGCTCTGGGTGCCTTTTATTTCCTTTTGTTGTCTAGTTGTCCTGACTTGAACTTCCAGTACAACGTTGAATGAAAGTAGCGAGAGCAGGCGTCTTGCCTCATTCATTTTAGGGGAAAAACTTTTCAGCGTTTCAGTATAAGTATGATGTTAGCTGTGGGTTTTTCAAAGGCACTGTTTATCACATTGAGAGATAGACCTTGTATTTCTAGTTTGTTGAGTGTTTTTATCATGAAAGGTGTTGGATTTTGACAGATACTTTTTCTGCATCTGTTGATGTGGTCACGTGTGTTATTTCTTTGATTCTATCAATGTTGTCTCTTACATTGATGGATTTTCGTATGTTGTATCACCTTTGCGTTCCTGGAATAAATCCCACTTGGTCATGATGTAACTTTCGTTTTCTTTCCTTGTCATGTCGTTGCCTGGCTTTGGTAGCAGGGTAATACTGGCCTTGAAGAACGAGTTAGGATGTGTTCCCTTCTCTTCTGTTATTTTAAAGAGCTTGAGAAGAGGATTGGTGTTAATTCTTGTTTAAACATTGCGTAGAATTCACTGTTGAAATGTCTAGTTCCAGGATTTTCTTGGTGGGAAGTTTTGTGTGTGTGTGTGTGTGTTTGTGTGTGTGTGATTTGGGTGAAGATTTACAGAGCAAATTCACTTTCCATACAGCAGTTCACATACACTTTGTCTCATGACAGTGACTGCAGTTTACCACAATGCAACAGCTCTCCTCCTACTTCCTCCCCATAGTTACTTCTTCCCAGTGTCCATTTTTCCATGCACTCCTGCCCCCTGAGCTGTCTCCCTATGCATAAGCAGCCTTTCTTTCTCCCATGATTATTCTCTCCAAGGAGTGTATCAACCTGAGGTAAATGTTCAACTCATATGCCTGTCTTTTGTTTGGCTGGAAACCACAGGTGTGGGTTCAATTCCAGACCTGAAGGGCAGCTAGTGGCCATAGTCTCAGTGGTTCCACCAGGCTCTATTGATCCAGCAAACCTGGTGGTGGGAAGTTTTTTGATAATTGACTCAGTCTCTTATTATAGGTCTACCTAGGTTTCCTATTTCTTCTTGAGTCAGTTTTAAAATGCTGTATGTTTCTAGATAGCTGCCCATTTCTTCCAGGTTATCTTAATTTTTTGACATATAATTATATGTAGTGTTCTCTTATAATCCTCTCCTTTTCTGTGAGGTCAGCAATAATGTCCCAACTTTCATTCCTGATTTTAGTAATTTGAGTCTTCTCTCTTTTTATCTCGGTTAGTATAGCCAAAGGTTCGCCAATCTTGTTGGTCTTTTCGGAAAACTCCCTTTTGGTTTTGTAGTCTCTGTTTCGTTTATTTTCACTGTAGTCTTTATAATCTTTTGCCTTCTGCTTGCTTGGGGTTTATTTTGCCCTTTTTCACCTAGTTCCGTAAGGGAGGTTAGGTTACTGACTCGTTGTTGTTATTTGCCATCAAGTTGGCCCTGACTCATAGCGACCCCTCCTTGGGTTTCCGAGGCAGTATCACTATGGAAGTACGATTGCCCAACCTTCCTTCCAAGGAGTGGCTGGTGGGTTTGAACCGCCAGCCTTCTGGTTAGCAGTCAAGTGCCTTAGACACTATGCTACCAGAGGTTACTGACTTGGGATCTTCTTTTTATTGAATGTCATTGTTTATGGTATGAATTTGCCTGTGAGGGAGCTTTTGCTGCATTCCACAGGTTTTGATGTGTTGTGCTTTCATTCTCATGCATCTCAGAGTATTTCCAATTTCCTTGCGATGTCTTCTTTACCCATTGGTAGGTTAAAAGTATGGTGGTGGTTCAGTTCATATGTCAGCTTGGCTGGGCCTGGTTGAGTGGCTGGGCAGCTGGATGTAGTATTCCCCATGATGAGACTGGTCATCAACTCCATGGTGGAATCTACTGTGAGGAGCTGCCTTAGGGAATGTGCTCCGCTTCCTGTGTATAAGGAGAAGCCTTGGGAAATGGTCTCCAGCTTATGGCACGCTTGGACCCTGCATGTAGTCGTGTCGTCGTTCAGCAGCCTGCCATGCTGTCCCTACCTGGGGACTTAAAATGGACTTGAGTTAATGGCCTGCCATGTGGTTTGGTAACATCCCATTTGTGGTATATTTCTTGTCAGAGCAGTACTAGGTAACCAGAACAAGTGTATTGTTTAATTTCCACATAATTGTGAATTGTTTTCCTTCTGTTCCTGATTTCTAAATTTCATTCCACTGTGGTCAGAGAAGATACTTTTTATGATTTCCATCTTTTAAAGTGTATCTTCTTGATGAGTTGATAATTTATCATTATGTAATGGCTTTCTTGGTCTCATAACACTTTGGGTCCCAAAGTCTCTTCTGTCTGACACTGGTATATCCAGTCTGGTTGTCAGCTTACATGGAATATATTTTTCTGTCCTTTTAACTTTCAACCTGTTTTTATCTTTGAATCTAAACTGATTCTCTGGTAAGGAGTATAATATTGGGGGTTCTCATGGTACACGAGGCCTTTGGGCTGTTTCCTTCAGTCTTTGATTTTCTTCACTCTTCCTTGTTCTGGACAAGGAGAGACCAGTAGTTGTACCTCAGATGGCCGCTCATGAGCTTTGAAGATCCCAGTCACTGCTCAGCAAACTGGGATGTAGAACATTGTCTCTGTGGACTGTGTTATGCCATTTGATCTAGATGTCACTCACGACTGTGGTCCTGTTCCCTCAGGGTGTTTGGTTATGGCTAAGAAGTTTTCAGAACTTTGCCCCTGTATGTCTTCAGATATCAGTAGCACAGACAGCTAACATGTGGAAATACCCTCTGCCAAGCCTGTCTGTGCTGGTGGTGCACTCCCGTTCAGCTGCCCACATCTGGGCGGTTTCCACGTCTACCTGTTGATCCACTCATAGGTGCGGTTTGTTGTTACGTTACTGCAGGACAGTATGTAACGGTATCTACCTTTGTTGTCTTTTACTCTCCCTTGATTTCCTTTGTGTTGGTCTGTTGTGCTGCCCTCCCCTTCCTCTGTATTGTCTTTTCCTTCACCCAGGTACTTGTGTCTGCTCTCTAGTTAATCACTCTCCCTCCCTCTGTCCCTGGTAGCCATCAGAGAATGTTTCTGTCTGTGTGTAAACCTTCTCCCTACCTTTTTTTAAATTTTTATTGTGATTTGGGTGAGACAGAGCAAATTCATTTTCTATATAGCAGTTCATATGCATTTTGTTTCGTAACATTGACTGCAATTCCCCACAATGTAACAGCTTTCTTCCCACTTCCTCCCCCTAGTTTCCTCTTCCCTGTGTCATTCCCTTCCATGCACTCCCACCCTCAGAGGTGTTTCCTTGCCTAAACACTGTCCTTCTGTTCTCCCGTGATTGACCGCTCCGAGGAACGTATCTACCTGATGTAATTGTTCCTCCCATATGCCTGTCTGTTGTTTGGCTGGAAGCCACAGGAGTGAGTTCAGTTCCAGACCTGAGGGGTGGCTAGGGGCCATAGTCTCAGGGGTCTCACCAGGCTCTATCAGACCATCAAACCTGGTCTTTTTTTTTTTTATGAAACCTTTTTATAGTAGTGGTCTCCATAGTGTTTGTCCTTTTGTGATTGACTTATGTCACTCAGTGTAGTGTCCCCCAGGTTCATCCAAGTATGAGCTGTTTCACGGGCTAATCATTATTCTTCAGTAACATGTCGTATTCCATTGTGTGTGTTTACAATGGTATTCATTCATCAGATCATGGGCACTTAGGATGTTTCCATCTCTTTGCTGTTGTGAATAATGCTGCGATGAACATGGGTGTGCATCTATCGTGTCATGGTTCTTACTTCTCTATGATGTATCCCTAGTAGTGGGATTGATGGGTCATGTGGTATTTGTTTCCAACTTTTTAAGGAAGCACCATACTGTTTTCCATAGTGGTTGTACCATTTTACAGTCCCACCAACAGTCTAGGAGAGTTCCAGTCTCTCCACATCCTTGCCAGCATTTGTTGTTTTCTGCCTCCTTCATTTTAGAAGAATAATTTTGTGGGGCATAAAATTCTTGGTTGACATTATCTTTTTCTTTTAGCACATTTCATAGGTGCCCTTTATCACACTGAAGAACTTCCCTTCTTTAAGTTGCTGTTTTTTTTAATCATGAATCAATACTGAATTTTGTCACGTGCATCTGCTGATCGTTGGTTTGTCTTTATTCTGCTAATGGAGTGAAGACATTGGCTTATTTTGAACTGTCGGTCCACCCTTGCCCTTGGACAACCTCTGCTTGACCGTATGTGTATGACTTTTCATAGACTGTTAGATTTGATTTGCTAATAATAATTTGTTAAAAAATTTTTGCATCTATGTTCATGTGGTGTTTTTTGTTTGTGTGGTGGTTATGTTTGTGTGTCAACTTGGCTGGGCCTGGCTGAGTGGCTGGGCAGCTGCATATAGTATTCCCCATGTGAGACTGGTAGCTCCACAGTGGAATCTGCCGTGAGCAGCTGAGTAGCTGCCTTTGGGATGTGGTTTGCTTTCTATATAAAAGTAGCAGCTTTGGGAATGGTCTCTAGCATATGGCACGCTTGGACCCTACATGTAGCCGTGTCATTGTTCAGCAGCCTGCCATGCTCTGCTGACCTTGGGACATTGAATGGATTTGAATTAATGGCCTGCTGTGTGGTTTGGTAGCATTGGGACTGTGCCTTTTTACTTGTCAACCTTGGGTTTGTTAGTCTTGGCAGCCAGCAGCCGTCTGAGTGAAGAAAAGCCTCTAGTTCCAGTAGGGTGGGAGCAGGAGGCAGAGCTGAATCCCAGGGCTGAGTGAGGGGCTTTCACCCAGCCCGTAGAGCCTGGCACTTTGAACTTGGATTAAAGCCTCCAAACTGTAAGTGAATAAACTCCTGTTTGTTAAGGCTGTCCCATCTGTGGTATATTCCTGTCAGAGTGATGCTAGGTAACCAGAACAGGTGGTTTTGTTTTTTTTGGGGGGAGTTGTGTCATATCTTTATCATGTTTTGAAATCGGCATTATTCTGGCCTCAAAAACTGAATTGATACAAGTTCCCTCCTATTTCTGACAGTGTTTGTATGAGATTGACGTCCTCCCTCTTTGGAATGTTTGCTAGAAGAACCACCTCACTCTGGAATTTTCTTTGAGGGAAGACTTTTGTTTGTTTAATTTCTAATTCAGTTTCCTTAACAGATACAGACTTACTCAGGTTTTCTGTTTCATCTTGTGTCAGTTTTGGTATTTTTTAAGGTATTTGTCCAATTCTTCTGACTTTCCCTATTTCTTGACATAAAACTGTTCAGAACAGTTACCTTCTAACCTGATTCTTGCCAGTAGGTGAGCCTCTCTCTCACTGCTGATGGGGGATTTGAGCTGTATTTCTTAGTCAGTCTGGCTAATTGTTTATCACTTTTGTTCTTAAAAATCAACTTCTGGCTTTGTTAAAATTCTCTATTCTTGGTTTGTTTTCTAGTTCACTGATTTCTGCCTTTATTAATTTGCTTCCTTCCATGCATATTGGGTTTATGACTCTAGCTTCCTAAGGTGGAACCTTAGGTCTTTATGTTAGACTTCTCTTCTTTTCTGATTTAAGCATTGTAAACCTCTTCACAGGAGCTCTGGTAGCTTAGTGCCTAAGGCACTTGACTGCTAACCAGAAGGCTGACAGTTCAAACCCACCAGCCACTCCTTGGAAGGAAGATGGGGCAATCTACTTCCATAGTGATACTGCCTCGGAAACCCAAGGGGGGGTCACTATGAGTCGAGTCCGACTCGGCGGCACATGACAACAACAACAACAACAACAACAGAGCTCCGGTAGCATAGTGCCTAAGGCACTTGACTTGCCAACCAGAAGGCTGGCGGTTCAAACCTACTAGCCACTCCTCGAAAGGAAGGTTGGGCAATCCTAGTTCTGTAGTGATACTGCCTCGGAACCCAAGGAATGGTTCACTATGAATTGGGTCCAACTCGACGGCACATAACAACAACAACAACAACAAACTTCTACACATTGTTTTAGCCTCATTGAAGTGTGTTGTTATCAGATACTTGGAGTTTTCCGACAGATCCGTTGGGTTTCTAACTTAGTTCTGTTAAGGTCAGAGAACATGTGCATGATTGTCTGCAGACTGAGATGCGGTGTGTCCTGGTGATGTACAGAGTGTACTTGGAAAGGGAGGTCTGTCAGTGACTGTGAGGTCATCATGCTTGATGGTGGCGCTTACATCGCCAGTGTTTTGATGGATTGTTTCTGAGGGGAGTTGACGTTTTCTCTGCTTTGGGGGTTGTCTGTCTTCATTCTGTCCATTTTGGCTCCATTTGTTTGGAAGCTCTGTCCTTGGACCGTGTCTTGGAGACAGCAGTTTTACCCATTCAGATGATAATATGCCTTTTGATGGTGCACCCGTCCACTGACAGTGAGTTAGTGGTAGGATTGGTGTGGAGTGAGTCCGTGATTACTTCTGAGCTCTTGGCTCTGGGGTTGTTTGCCTTTTCCCTGTGCTGTCTTCTGTTGTGGCGCTGGATGACACGAAAAACTGTGTTTCCCTCTTAGCAGCGCAGCTGGTTGCTGTGGGGATGGTGACTCACGCCCTCAGTCTGCCAGAGTCCCTGAGGTAACCACATTGTCACACCTGGGGAAAACGCAGAGACCTCGCCCAGATAGGCTCTTTGTGCTATAGCACCAGGTGGACCATGTCTGCTGCCTGTCAGTCCCACAAGATGGCACCTGAAAGTCCACCAGCCCCACACTCAGGATTTTGGTCTGTCCTTTTTGATGTTTCCTTTTGTCTTGCAGGTTAGCCTAACATGGCCGACCAGAGGCAGCGCTCTCTCTCCACCTCTGGGGAGTCGCTATACCACGTACTGGGACTGGACAAGAATGCAACCTCGGACGACATTAAGAAGTCCTATCGGTAAGAGGCTCTACCTGCCCCTGGCATGGTCTGCTTTGCCAGGAACTGTTGGCTCATTGGTCCTGGCCCATGTGCTAGTTAACTGGCAACACTTCCGTGGCATGCTGGTATTTGTAGTGTGCCTCCTATAACTTAAAATGTCATGTTCTTCATATTTCCTTGGCAACAATAAGAAGTAGCCCTCTATAGATGGTACACTGTCTTCACCAGAGCAAGGCCACGGGGTCTCAACTGGAGTGGAGCTCCAGGAAGAGGGCAGTGATGTTTTTGTTTAAGAGGTGACAGTAGCACCTGCTGTAGCCACGACCGAGCTTGAAGGACTTCATCAGGTTGTCCTCAGTGCCTCCTGAGAGACAGACTGTCACTGATCCCAGACACACCACACAGGCCTCCGGTGTGTCCTTGAAGTCGTACTGAAAAAACATCAGTGTTGCCCTCGCTCCTCCGTGCCTGGAGTCAGATGGGCAAGAGGGCTTGAAGCAGGGTGGGCCTTCAGCTATTGGAAGCTGGTGGACGTGGTCTTGCTGGCTGTGCGAGTCAGCTCCTTGTGTGGCCCAGGTGCAGGGCGTGTGGCCCATGGCCCTCCATCCGCAGGCCTCTCTGTTGGGCAGCAGGTCTGCACGGTTGGGGAGGAGGAGCTGGTACTGGGTAAGCGTTTCCTTCGTTGGACCTTGTCCAGTGGTGGGCCTGAGATCTGAGACCAGGTTTAAAACCAGAAGCTGGTTTTGGTCTGCAGGAAACTTGCCTTGAAGTATCACCCTGACAAGAACCCTGATAACCCAGAGGCCGCAGATAAATTCAAGGAGATCAACAACGCTCACGCAATCCTCACGGATGCCACCAAGAGGAACATCTACGACAAGTACGGCTCCCTGGGCCTGTACGTGGCCGAGCAGTTTGGCGAGGAGAATGTGAACACCTACTTTGTCCTCTCCAGCTGGTGGGCCAAGGTGAGGGCGGAGCCTGAGGGGAGGGGCGGGCCCACGCGGAGGGGTACAGGGGCCCCAAGCGGGGCGGGGCCGAGGGGAGGGCAGGGTGACAGAGAGGAGGGCTGTGCGCGCAGGTGCCCCTGGCCGCACCCAACCCTGTCGGCCTCCCGCAGGCCCTCTTCGTCGTCTGTGGACTGCTCACCTGCTGCTACTGCTGCTGCTGCCTGTGCTGCTGTTTCAACTGCTGCTGCGGCAGGTGCAAGCCGCGGCCGCCCGAGGGCGACGGGGCCCAGGTGTACGTATCGCCCGAGGACCTGGAGGCGCAGCTGCAGTCGGACGAGAGGGGTGAGTGCGCCCGCCCGCGCGGTGTGCGTGCCTGGGGCGCCCGCCCGGAGGAGCCCTGAGCGCGTCCCCTGTCTCGTCAAACAGGAGGGCACTGAGCCGGTGCCGGCGTGCTTGTGGTGGCGGCGGGCGAGTGTGCGGACGCCGGAGGTAAA